CATTCACTACCCCATACGCCTTCATGGTGTAGTGCTTAATTAGTTAATCACAGGAACAACTTTACCTTTTTGCCTTATACATTATGACATCTGTAAGCTGTAAACATGCAATGGTAGACAATAACCACAACAAAAATTAATAATGACCTCCTGTTAATCTCCATTCGTCTTTGGTAACTTCATTACCAATTGCTGCGAGGAATGCCTCGTTACACCTTGATTTCATAACGTAACTCCGTGGCCTGTATTCCGCAAGCGAACTATACCGACCGAGAGACCTCTGATTGTCGGCGACGTTAGTGCCAACTATTCCCGAGAGAGGGTGTTGCGTGGCAAGCGCAATGGATTCCCACGGCCGGTAATCTGGGTTTTCTAGACCGGAGCCGCTACCTTTCCATTTAAGTACCCTCAATTATCCTCACGGGGCTGAATGGACTCCGTATCGAACCCGGGACCTCCGGATCTGTAGTCAGGAACTCTGCCCACTAGACCAAACAGGCGTCCATAACGTAACACGCCGTAAAAAAAAAGATACCGTTTAATGCTTTGTTCTCAAACACTTTTAGTCTTAAGTTCTTAATGACAGACGCAAATTACCGTCTAATTATAACTAGATATACTTTTACGTGGGCAGTATTCTGGGGAAATAATTCCATCAACATTACTTAATGGGCGCTAGAGGTCAAGTCTTACATTCATACAAAACTGAGGATAGGCACTAAAAAACTAACAAAAAGAAGGGTAAAGCTATCCCTGTTACAGGACGTCGAGGCTCCCACATTTTCTAGACAATCGGCTCACAGATGGCGGTGAAGTTGACAGCCTTCCGTGCCGGCCGCCCTTTACCCCCAAGAATATTCCTGGTGCTCATTTCTGTTAGAGGCAGAGTCTACCCCAGGGCCATAGTGCGGCTGGAAGGGTTAGGGTAATTGAAATATCCAATTACCTCATCGGGAATCCCGCACACTACCTTCCGGCTTGTAGCACAATGCCTCAACTAACTATGCTACCGCTTGCCCAACCAAAAACTGTAGTATCATTAATATTTCGATGTTAACAAAGAGTGTTCCACCGGGAAACAGCAAATGCGCAGACGTTAAAATGGCCAACCAACAAACAAACTCCGTAGCCTGTAGTCCGCAAGCGAACTATACCGACTGAGCGACCGCCGCTTGTCGACGAAGTTAGTGCTATGTCCACCCAGGAAAACTGTAGGGCTACGCTGAATGGTTAAAAGCTCACACAGAAAACAACATGGCTGACAGACAAGACAAATGTCTGAGATGTAATTTCACCTCTGAACATTCGGTTCCACGCTGGCATATCTCAAGATGGCATCTACAGGCGCGTTCAACATTGAAACATTCCCATTTCTGTCAATCAGTGAGGTAGTAAGGGAACACAAAACCACTTAACTTTATGATTGATAGTTTCATAACAATAACATGTATGCTATGGCACTACTTTAACCAAAGTTTTGCTTCATTTCGAATAAACAGAATTTCACTTAAAAAAAAAGAGGAAGTCTTCACGGAGACTGACAGAGATAGAATCTTCGTGGGCGACAGCCTCGCTAATTCGGAGCCCCAATCGTTCAGGGAAGATTCTGTCGGCATCCCCCTTATTTTAGCGCTCATAATATTTCCGCTCTACAGTACTTCAAGCAAGACTGTAATCATATAAACATAATTCAATCTCTCACTTATTATGCGGGACACGAGGTGCGTACTTGGTTGAGGCACTATGCTACAAGCTGGAAGGTCGCGGGTTCAAGTCCCGATGAGGTCACTGGATTTTTTTTCAATTGACCTAATCCTTCCAGCCGCACTATGGCCCTGGGGTCGACTCAGCCTCTTAACAGAAATGAGTACCAGGAATATTCTTGGGTGTAAAGGGCGGCCTGCGCGTAAGGCTGGCACCCTCACCGCCATCTGTGAGCCATTGTCAAGAAAATGTGGGAGCCTCGACCTCTCACAGGGCCTCCACGGCCTGTTACTATGCTCACAATCCGCCGCTCTTCTTGTAGAAAACGAATTTAAAGCCAATCAAACGAAATTTTATATTGTGACACGTAGACACATTTCTAGGCAACGACAGAGATACGCTAGCAAAAATAGAAAATATATTGCAAGAAGTGTTTTCTATGTGGTCCGCGTCACGCCCCTTTCTAGGCAACGAGTCGCTAAACACATTCCAACAGAAGCAAACGCGCGAAATAGTAACATCTACTGCTAGGCAACGGCGAGGTAACCAGGATTTACCAACATACTGGCTTTGTTTTCGGTGGGGTCCGTGCAAAGTGGTTATAAGAGAGCAGACCCGACCTCTCGTCAGAGAGGGCGCCCCAAATGAACAGGACAGTAACTTTCATATAAAGAAAAAAAAATCTGGTCATGAGCCCCAGTCGGGGCTCGACATCAAGACAGACAGACTGACCGACCGTCAGTCGCAATGTGACTTTGACTTTAAGTTGGCAGTTTAGTTGAGTGTTCAGCTGTGGAGTGATAACCAGCGGAAACGGAAGCGGATGAATCTCCATCGTTAAGATCCGTTACTAGGAAACGTCTAGTGCTAATGCAGAGGAATAGCCATTGTTGAGAGCTGTTACAAAACAACTAGTGAAAGCAGAGTTAAAAGACTTAGTGATCTTTAGCGTAGAAATCAACAATGGTGTAATAACTATTTATAGTTACGACGTGCAAGTGGTCAATAAATGCATTCACCAATCCAAACCCCGTCTACAGTCACTAGTACACGTAATCTCTCATGTATGATGATACCCATAATCCCTCGTTATTCCCATAAATGTGGGGTCCAGCTGCGTCCACTCGGCACGGCGGCCACTGATTGGCGTATTGTACCTGCCCCGGGTAATTATGATGGAGAATTTGGTGGAATGAAGATTGGCAGGGCAAACCGAAGTACTAGGAGAAAACCCGCCGCAGCGCCACTTCGTCCACCACAAATCCCACTTGACCAGACCTGAGATCGAACCCGGGCAGCCGTCGTGGGAAGCCAGCGACTAACCGCTTGAGTTATGGCGCCGCCTAGTGTTCACATTACCCCGTTCGCCATCTTGTTTTTTTTTTTTTGTGCACAAAGCGGATGTCCTTTCTAAGCCTTCAGGAGTCATATGCAATAACAAAATAGTATTTGTCTCTATGGCAACGTAACAGCTCGCCAAAAAGGAAATGGGTCTGGTGGAGTGCGGCAATTAAGACCCCTCCCTAGACGCAAACATTCATAAACAGCAGTATTCTTAGTTACAACATACATACATAGCTGCTACTGGCACCGTGTCCGGGTTCAGGGCTTTCCGTTGCGCCTCACACAGCCTTACTTTGCTCTGACGTCAGTGGAGCTACGGAAAAAATAACATTATCTTCCGTAAACATTATTTCCATGCTGATCACAGTGGCCGCGCGGTCTAAGGCATGATCTGGGAGGCCGCGCCATAGCTCAAGCGGTTATTCGCTGGCATCCCACCGCGGCGGCCTGGCTTCGATCCCGGATCTGGTCAAGTGGGATTTGTAGTGGACAAAGTGGCGCTGCGGCAGGTTTTGTCCGAGTACTTCGGTTTCCCCTGCCAATCTTCATTCCACCAACTGCTCCACAATCACCCTCACCTATCATCTGGGGCTGGTACAATAGGCCAGAAGTGGCCGCAGTACAAGGGACTTAGTCCCACCCCACCAAGTAATAAAAAAAATAAACAAAGAACGTTGACTTGCATATGACACATTCCTCTTATTACTAAGGCGATACACGGTAAATAAATGGATATGAAATTTCGGTAAGAAATCTTATTCACATCTCGACCGCTACACATTATGTCACATGTTGAAGGACCAGCCGGCCATCATGTATAACAAAGTTTTAGTACAATGGCCTTACATGTTTAGGTCACACAGAACCATCTTCAGAGGCTTCAGTAACAAGTCACAAAGCACTACTCAGCACTTCATGCGAGGAACACACATAAACAACCTGAATACACAGCAGCTACAACAAATATGACAGCTTCCTGTACTCAGAAGAAATCTCATGTCCCTAAGACGTACTGGGGAGTTAATGCAAGAATCCACTTATCCCTAAACGCACGAAACATGTAAGAAAATTTTATTGACTGAAATTTAGTTTCTTACGTTTGATGGTTCTCTTGTTCTTCAACAATCTAGCAAGAAACCGTTAAGAGAAGGGAGTTCAAAGACAACGGAATGGATGATATGATAATATTAAAATCAGTGTTGGAAAAGTAGGGTTATACTGGAATGAAATTTCGGAGTCCCTAAAACCAGACGAATAATTATTTATCAATTGGTCAAGAAGACATAACGTCGCCTGAGAAAAGGGTAGGCCTGTCTCCTGTTTTTGGACGGAGACCTGGTAGTGCACGGCCTAATCAGAGAAGTGAATTAGCTCCACGTACTTCCATACGTTTACCTTACAAACATGAGATTTCAAAATATTCCGCCTGAGGTAGGAACTGAAAAGAAAATATTGTAGCTTTTACATCCGTTGCTAGCTAACGACAGCCAAAAAAACAAGTGGACAACGGCCGTTACTAGGCAACGGCCCGTAAACAGAAACAAAGGAACAGCGTTTACTGTGAGGTCAGAGCCGAGATGTTATAAGCGGGACAATTTGGGAGCTGGATTGAGTTTGTTGGAGAGTGAGTGAGTTAGTCGAGAGTTGCTGTAGCTGAGGCCGGGAACAATTCGGGAACCCAGAGGAAGGGGAACGTCCGCCGTTGGAAGCCGTTACCAGACAACGACTGGTGAAGACATAACAGGCTGAGAAAACTGAAGTGTGTGCTCTAGTGAAACGGTTATAAGTATTTGTAGTCACGGATCTGTAAGAATTCAATAAATCCAATTATCAATCCAAATTCCGTCTGTAGTCATTCAATCACGTCACAATATCATTTAGAAGAAATTTAGGTCTGAGATGTTTGGGCGAAAGTCAATAAAATTTGGTTCTTAAGCTTCAGAGCTACTCACCTTCTTCAGGATCGTAGTACGATCTGCCCCTCGGCAATGGCTGCAGATGGTAAGAGAAAGCCACCACTTGTCTCTGTAGGACTCCCCTGGAAGAGATGGCCTCAACGTAAAGTGCAGCCTGCCCATCGCGGCTCTGGAAACACCTGGCCATCTGCAGAGAACCGTCATTATCCTGCAGGGCAGGATACAGAGGCAGGAGTGATCGAGGGCCTTCCAGGAAAATGTGAGCACCCGAAAATATTCCGGACGCCTTTATGCAGCCTCGGAAGTCACGACCTGAGGCTCCCAATCTAAGCAGAACTCTCAGGGCTCCTCGAGGGTACAACCATTCCAGGTGTCCCTGAGAGCACCTGAGATACACCGGTGTTACCCCGCGACCAGAGATCTCGTCTGCAGCGGAGACCGACAAACCGCTGAAAAGAAATTAGACAATGTTAGGAACAGAGTAACTTAAAACAAAGACAAAATAGATGAAGTTGTCCTTGTGCTTAACTAATTAAACATCACGCTGGGAAGACGTATAAATCCACGTATTCTTGACATCGGAACTTGTTGAGAGGTGAAATGTCATCGTCACGCCCCTACCGCTTTAACCCCGGGGAAGTAGCCCCCTTGTACGCATTGGATAAGAAGCTGGATGGGCCCCAGAGCCGGTCTGGACGACGTGGAGAAAATTCTTTACCCTACCAGGACTCGAACTCCAACCCCTCGGTCGTCCAGCCATTAGCCAGTCGCTATGAGGGAATAAAAGAATAACTTCACGTATTCTAAACCTCGTATACTTGGAGATAACTTGTCAAATTCACGCTTCTGTCACTTTATCCCAAGTACAAATACCACGCAATACCCAGCGAAGGGGAAGCCCCTAGAGCTGGTCTGGATTGGTGTGAATCAGACTCCTGCAGTCCACGTGCAGATACCATCACTTTACCGATCCACCTCTTACAGGTCTTCGCTTACGAAACTTGAGGTCAGTTTAGCACCAAATGTTCTATTAGGTAAGTATTAGTAAGTATTAGGTAAAGTAAAGCTATCCTTGTAACAGGCCGTTGAGGCCCATAGGGTTGTGAGATGTTGAGGCTCCCACATTTTCTCTAGACAATCGGCTCACAGATGGCGGTGAGGTTGTCAGCCTTACGGGCCAGCCGCCCTTTACCCCCAGGAAGATTCCTGGTATTCATTTCTGTCAGAGGCTGACTCGATCCCAGGGCCATAGTGCGACTGGGAGGATTAAATAAATTTACAAATTCATCTCATCGGGATTCGGTCCCGCGACCTTCCGTTTTGTAGCATAGTGTCTCAACCAGCTACCGTGTGCCCCGATCTATTATAAATTCAAATTAAAATGTTTTTATCAATTTCTCATGTACCGTCCACGTGTGGTGCATGTCTCTTCCATCTCATCCTCCTTGGTCTGATCACTCTAATAATCTTTGGTAAAGAGAGGGCTCTGCAGATTATGGAGTAACTAATTATCTCAGTTACTTGCTTCCATCTTATGTCTATAACTATTCCCCTTAAGCACACAGCATTCTTTTATTCTCTTCTTTCTATTATTCCCATTATCTCTGGGAATGCAGATCCTGCTTGGTGCATGTGACCTCAGACCGGTCTGATCCGCTGCAGACAATTGCTGCAGCAAGCGAGCCAGCTGACAGCACTCAGCAAAAAGTTAACCGCGTCGTGTTCACGCCACGCATTTTCTGCTCAACTTAATTTTCAGGTTACCTTTTTCTGATCATTTTTTCGAAGTATTCGAATATTTTCACGTAAACTCCTTGTATTAGGAAAGAGTTTGTTCTGTCAGATCGAATGAATTTTCATGTAGGCATGCGTCCTATTCAGGATGACTAAGTTCTATCGATATTCGTCGCGGATTTAACATCCGTTACTTAGTAACGGACAAAATATATGCTGCAATGTGTAACCATGAGCAGACACAAAGACGGAATGGTAACCGATTGGAGATAGTTACCATTATCTTCCCCAGGTTATATAGAGAGTTCAGGGGTACGCGGTAGCGTAGTTGGTTGAGGCACCATGTTAAAAGCCGGAACGTCGCGAGATCCAATCCCGATGAGGTCACTTTCTTCCTATTCCTTCCACCCGTACTATGGCCCTGGAGTCGACTCAGTCTCTAACAGAAATGAGTACCAGAAATCTTCTTGGGGGGTAAAAAGGCGGTCGGCGCGTAAGGCTGACAACCTCACCGTCATCTGTGAGCCTATTGTCTAGAAAATGTGGGAGCCTCGACGTCTCACAACCCTATGGGCCTCCACGGCCTGTCAGGGATAGCTTTGTCTTTATTATATACTGAGTTTTTCTGTCTTCATAAATCGTGAATTGTAAGTATGAGCCTAAGGGTCGGCCTTTAGCGGAAGAAATGGGACAGGGGAAATTGGAGGCCTAACAGAGATGGTGAGAACAGAGGGTGGAAAAAGAAATCGCACAGAGAAGGGCTTCAAAACTTTCAATTCTTAGTAAATGCTGTATGATTTGAGGTTAAGATGAGTTCCACCTCCTGCGAAATAACGCCGTGTAGTCTGGTGAAATCTAACCACACTACACGATGTTATATCCCAGAAGATAGAACTATTTAGTAAACATTTTTTTCTTTTGAGAATTAAATAAATAAGAATTAAATAAAAGCACGTATGCGGAAATAAGAAATGCAAACATAATTTTGGTTTAAAGTCTGCTTGAGAAACAGACGTACTAATTGCAGAGAGCTGATACGAGGGCCATTTCTAATGATAAAAAATGTGTCCCTGTGCTTAATTAATTAGGCACCACGCCATGAAGACGTACGTGAGAGTGGAGGTATATATCCACGTATTCTTGACCTAGAATTGAGTGGAGGTGAGTGGTCAGCTTCACGCACCGGCCATTTTACCCCTGGGGAAAGAGCCCCCTGTACCCATTGGTCAGGAGACTGGGCGTGCCCCAGAGCCGGTCTGGACGCTGTGAAGTAGAGACAAATTTCTTGCCCCTGTCGGGAATAAAACACTGGCCGTTCAACATGTAGCCCGTCGCTACACAGAATGAGCTACACCGGCTCGGCTTCATAAAGGTGGGGAATTTATTTACTATTTCGGATACATTGGGAAATATGTCCACCATCCCCACCACAGCACAAAGTTACTAAAATATTAATATATCTCTTGTTTCCACGGTAACGAAACAAAGTCTGCAATCAGAAAGTGTATACCTGGAGTTGAGTCAATGGATCATAAACTTTAAATCTTGAACTGAGGGATTCTTTTACACAGAATGGCCCAAAATTAAGTATTTGAGGTTGTCAGCACTGTAGTTATGAAGAGTTCTATCTTCTGGGATAAAGTGTGGTTCGTTGAAAGTCAAACGACGTTTCGGAATAAGCCAAGCAAGAAAATAACGTGAAAGCAGGTGACAAACAGAGCAAGTAGAGCCACTTTCATTAGCACTAGTTTGTTGCTTGGCTTTTTCTTCGACCCTGAAGATAGAGGCGAATTATTTCTCCGAAACAGTGGTTGACTTTCAAAGGGCTACACGGCGTTATGTCTCAGAAGATAGAACTCTTGCTTCATTTGTTTCTAAAATCCTTAATTTTCAGACACCCGTCCTACAGATTGAGGCTGGGGTCACACGAGCGCACAAAGTACGTCCGTTGCAACGAACGTACATTATGACGGACGTTTCTGAGGACACCAAACAGTTTCAGAATGCGGTGCGTAGTTTTTGTCTGCAGTGGAGCCAGATGAAAGCGTAGTATTCGCCTCTCTTCTAATTTCTACAACGGACGTCACGAAGTTCGTTACAACGGACGCATTTTGTGCACTCGTGTGGACCCAGCCTTAAGGTTTGGCAGCTGCAATATGCTTAGTATTTACTCGTAATATTCTGTTTCACTTCTGTAGCACCCGTGAGAAAAACACTTAAAGAAAATACATGCGAAATTAATTCTACGTCTACAAACACTTACGAAAGATAAATTCTACGTCTACAAACACTTACGAAAGATAGTGTTAAAACCCACGTTAAAGTGTTACACTGTTCGTGTTTAACATACTCACATATTTTAATACCAAAATATTACGTGCAATCGTATGAATTAACTTTAGAATTATAATAAATAAAATACATCTCCATGAGTAGCCAGTATCTATGTAAAATTATCTTCTGTTAACATCATACATGTCAACTAAAAGATTTATACCGAAAGAAAAAGTTGCCACCGAGACACTCTCCAAAAGAACTTACATTTCTACATGTCCCAAAGCTTTTCTTTGGGGGCCCGATCCCCTTTTTTGAGCACAACAAAATAAATACTTATGCTAATTGTATTAAGAACGGAAGGCCCACTTACGATGCTGCTATTTTGAATTATGGTCACCCCCCCCCCCGTAGATTGAATTATGGTGTATCTCTCGCTGTGGAGGCACCTACTCAGATCGCGCCGGGAGCCCGATTTATAATAATAAAAACGTGCAGCCCTCAGTGTCTTACGTGTTCCGCATACTCCATTGCTGAACTACAACACGGAAACAGATCACAACTTGTTGCACCAGCAGTGGGAAGTGACACGGCATAGTCAAAGAGACGTACCTCCTCCATCTTCAGGTCAGAAGATATTGTGACGTGTATACCCATTCTTAGCAACGAGTCGCGTAAATATATTCCCACAACATAAGCGCTCAACAATAAGATATCCGTTGCTAGGTATCGGACCTGTAAAACACGCATTCTGGAAAATATAAGACGGTTTTTTCCGTGGAGTCCGTGCAAAGTGTTTATATACGAGTAAGACAGGAGTAGTAGGGACAGAGCAGTCGAGTAGAACAGTCAGTTATAGTAGAGAACTGGGTCGACTTCTGGAGACGGCTGTGATTGCGAAGAAAACCACGGGAAACTTGAGGCAAGACAGCCGCAAAGTCTATAACGCCACCCCTGGACAAACCCGCTAGGCATATTCAAATATCTACAACTGTTATTCGAAAAATATTTCGATATGGCGAATATTTGGAGAAATAATAATTTGTTTTCTTAAAATAAGTGTTTCTTGTTTTTAACTGATAAGATTGGAGAGATATTTCCGTCACAAAAACAAACACCTTTATTAACACACCAAACTTACCACATCGACAAGCGGCCTCCGTTGTCTAGGGGTAACGTTCCCACCTCATGACTCAAGGTACGCGGGTTCAAACCCGGCGGAGGTCGTGGAATTTTTAAGGGCGGAAAAATTCAGACCTCTGAGCAAAATTAGGCAAATTTCCCGCCCAAGTAGTTTCCAATGCCTCTGGTAGATGGGGGAAGCATCAAGGTACCGAGGGCCGACTTCGTTGGCTCAAACGGGGCTGATAGCACGCACCAGTACCGGCAGGGTATGGAGACTGGTAGAATATCAAAGGGGGACGTACAATACATCAACAAC